TACCCGGGTTTCGGTTCAATTCCGAATACTAGTATTTTCTTTGCAGGATAAAGAGTTATGCTATTTATTGCTCTAGTTTCTTTTGTTCTAGCTATCCCTCTTTTCGCCAAAAAAATTCCAGCTTCTGTATTTAGTCGAATTACTGCTATTACTCTTATTTATGCCGCAGTACTTTCATGGAATAGTCTATATTACTTCCCACTTCATAATGGAGGTGTAGGTATTTATAGTGGTCTATTCCATGTTTCAACTATTACTCTTGGATTCCAAATTCTACTATGTATGATTGGTGCTCTACTTCTATTCGGATGGGGACCTTCACTACAAACAAATAGTCTTATTGCAAATTCAAAAGTTGGAATTGAACGATCAGTACAAGTAAATACAAACTTTATTCAAACAAATACTATTCCTGAACATAGTCTTCTTATTCTATTTAGTGTTCTAGGTGGTACAATTCTTATGACTAGTTATAATTTCGTATCTATGTATATGGGTATTGAACTACAAAGTTTTGCAGCTTATATTCTTTGTACACTTTACCGAAATTCTCAATCTTCTACTGCTGCTGGACTAAAATACTTTCTTCTTGGTAGTCTTGCTTCTGGAATTATTGTTCTTGGTACTGCCATTATTTATGCTGGTACTGGTATTACAAATTTCGAAGATCTTGCTATTCTAATTTCAGTAGGAGATGCTACAAATACATATGTAACTGTTACTGTAGCTGCTGGTATTCTTCTTATTGGTATTGGTTACATTTTTAAAGTAGGTGCTGCTCCTCTATACAACTGGTCTCCTGATGTATATGATGGTGTTCCTACTATTATTACTTCATGGGTAAGTACTGTTCCAAAAATTAGTATTCTTGTATTCCTACTTAACCTAAGCTTTATTATTACAGGATTTGATATTCAATGGTCTACAACTATCCAAGAATACATTGGAAATCTATATAACCCTTACGCTAAACCATTCCAAACACTTCTTCTTGTTTCTTCTGTTCTAAGCTTCCTTGTAGGAAGTATTGTAGGACTTTCACAAGTACGAATTAAACGACTTCTAACATTCTCTACTATTAATCACGTAGGATTCCTGCTACTTGCTCTAGCAGTAAGTACAGAAGAATCTATTGAAGGATTTATTTTCTATCTAGTACAATATTCTCTAACAAATGTAAATACATTCCTAACACTTCTTGCATTTGGATATATCACTAAAGGTATTCTTCTACGAAATAAATCTAATGTACGAGAATTTACTCTTCTAGAAGATCTAAAAGGTCAATTCTATAAAAATCCTCTTCTTGTTATTAGTTTTGCTATTAGTCTATTCTCTATGGCAGGTATCCCTCCTCTAATGGGATTCTTTGCAAAACAAATGGTACTTTACTCTGTATCATATAACTACTCTTACATTGCTATTGTTGCTATCCTAACAAGTGTAATTAGTGCAAGTTATTACCTAAAAATTGTTCAACTTATGTTCTTCAATAAAGATTCTGTAGAAACAATGAGTGATTCATCTACAAACCAAGAATCTGATCAACCTCTTATTACTACAATGCATAGTTCTGTTATTGCAATTCTTACTCTTATTATTACTCTATATCTATTTGATCCTTCAATCCTACTAAATGCTTGTCATCTACTAAGTCTAAGCCTATTCTCTGTATAATATTATACAAATAATAAAAATAGACTTTATTTTCCTAAAATATATTATGAATTCAATTACTATTTACATTATCCTTGTTCCAGTAGTTTCTTTCCTCCTACTACTTGCTAATGTACTTCTTGCTAAACATGTACCATATTCTGAAAAAGTTACTTCATATGAATGTGGATTCTCTCCTATTTATGGACAAAACCGATCTCCATTTACTATTCAATTTTACCTTGTTGGTATTCTATTCCTAATCTTTGATATTGAAATTTTCATGACAATGCCTTATGCTCTTACTGTTTATGAAACTGGACATTATGGATTCTGGATTATTATGATTTTCTTTGCTATCCTTACTCTAGGATTTGTATATGAATTCAGCTCTAAAGCTCTATACTTTAGTCAAGTTCAACCTGCAGAACAAGAACAAGAATAATATTTTTATTCCCCTTTTAATATTAACATATTTATGAAAATAAAAATAGAATAACATATAGGAATTGAGATTGAAAAATATATGAATATAAGGGGATATGGTATAATTGGTAATTATAGTATCTTTGCAGGATAGCTGATGCCAGTTCAAATCTGGCTGTCTCCATACATTTTTTTTCTAAATAAATTCTTATTATTTTTCTTTCAAAGCCTTGATAGCTTAAATGGTTAAAGCGTAGAACTGAAGCTTCTAAGATCTGGGTTCAATTCCTTGTCGAGGCAATTATTACAGATATTCCTTACAGGTAAAGGAGGTGCTCTGTAAAAGCATTGGTTTATACCGTTGTGGGTTCGAGTCCCATGTCTGTAAAAAACAATTAAAAATTTTTATAAATGTAGGATGTGTGACAGAGTGGTTTAATGTACCTGGCTTGAGTCTAGGAGTTCTTTTCAGAACCAGGAGTTCGAATCTCCTCGCGTCCGTATTTCTATTTCATTAAAAGAGTAATTACTTATTTATTATAAATATAATAATATACTAAATTCAAGCTATAATTTTATTAGAACTATGAAAACTATATGTATAGTATACATACATACTTGACAATAATTTGAATAAATTATTCATATAATTCTGGAAATAATAATTTTTTTCTTATTCTTGTTTCCTATTTACTATTAGGAAGAATTCTTTCTAATCTCTTTTTCTTTCTTATTTATTTTAAATGAATTTCACATCACTACAAGCTCAACGACAAAACTTCCAGTTCCATCCATTCCATATGGTTACTGCTAGTCCTTGGCCTCTATTTATTTCATTCTCTCTTCTTATTCTTACAATGGGAAGTGTACTATACTTTAATGGATATACTAGTCCTTTCGGAGATTCTGGTATTTCTCTTGTTCTTCTAGGACTTATTTCTACATCTATGTGTATGGCGCTATGGCTACGAGATGTTGTAACTGAAGGTACTTTCCTTGGAGATCATACTATTCCAGTTCAAAAAGGACTTACACTTGGTATGGCTCTATTTATTCTTTCAGAAGTATTCTTCTTTATTTCAATCTTCTGGGCTCTATTCCATTCATCACTTTCACCTGCTGTAGAACTAGGTGGACAATGGCCTCCAATGGGAATTGAATCTATTAACCCATTCGAACTTCCTCTTCTTAATACTGTCCTACTACTTTCTTCTGGTGCTACAGTTACATACTCACACCACGCTGTTATTAATAAAAACCGAGCTGGTGCTATCTCGGGACTTATCCTAACTATCGTTCTTGCTGTTATCTTTACTATTTGTCAAGGTATTGAGTACATGAATGCTCCATTTACTATTGCAGATGGTGTATATGGTACAACATTCTATATGTCTACAGGATTCCATGGATTCCATGTTATTGTAGGAACTATTATGCTTGCTGTATCACTAGGACGACTAATTCAATATCACTTTACTAATACTCACCATGTTGGATATGAATCAAGTATTCTATACTGGCACTTTGTTGATGTTGTATGGCTATTCCTATTTGTAGCAGTTTACTGGTACGGTGGATAATTTTCCCCTTCTTTCATTAAATTGATTCTATATGAACATATTCTCCCTTTCTTTCTCTTTATACTGTATTATGTATAAATATTTATATACTTATTTCTATCATCTTATCATGAATACATTTCTAATCGATTTCCTAACACTTGGTGCTATTTTCTCTGCTCTACTTGTAGTAACATCTAAAAATCCAGTTATGTCAGTACTATTCCTTATTTCACTATTCCTTAACGTTTCTGGATATCTTGTTCTACAAGGACTAGGATTCCTTGGTGTATCTTATCTTATTATTTACATCGGAGCTATTGCTATCCTATTCCTATTTGTAGTTATGATGCTAAATCTACAACTAGCAGAACTAAATGCTATGGCTTCTGAATATACTCAGAACCTTCCACTAGGTTTCATGTTTGTATTCCTTCTATTTGTAGAACTATTCTCTATTTTTCCATTCCATTCTAACAATGAAATCAAAAATCTTAATCCATTTAAAATTTTCCCTGATATGTATATTGGAATGATTAATACTATGAATTCTATCCTTAATAGCTTTGGATATTCACCTATTACTACTACTAAAGAAGTATATCAAACATTTACAGTTAGCCCTGATTCTAACTTCTCTAACCTTATTGATGTACAATCTATTGGATTCACACTATATACATTTGGATCTGTATGGCTATTTGTAGCTAGTCTTATCCTACTACTTGCTATGATTGGACCTATTGTACTTACAATTAAACTTCGAACTTCTCATACATAATACATTACTTCTTTATAAAATTGTATTATATATTTAGATATTCCCCTTCTAATTCTCTATATATTCTACAAAAATAGCATTTTACATAGAATATAAGAAGAATTGTGTCACAGATGGCTACTGTAAAAGAATTGCAAATTCTTTCAATAGGGTTCAATTCCCTCTCAATTCTTTCAATTTTTATAAAAGTATAAGAAATACTATTATGAATATGAAAACATTTTCAATATAAAAGAACATAGTATAATTGGTAGTACAGTGATCTCCAAAATCACTAGTGTTGGATCGTACCCAGCTGTTCTTGTATATATAGGCTATAATATATAATCATATATAGAAAAAAAAGGATTTAGCTGAGTGGTTTAGCATCGATCTTACACATCGAAGACAGAGGTTCGATTCCTCTAATTCTTATTCGTTTACAACGAATTACAATTTTCCTTTGTCTTACTTTAGAAGGCTATATATTCTATTCATGTAAGTTTATTTTTCAGAAAATAGTATTTATACTATTTCTATGAATTATTTATACTTCTTTCAAAAAAAAAATTATTAATTTTTCCTTACAAAAACAAAACATGTTTTCTTATGTTCTTTCTCTATTCTTTACATCATCACTTCTTTGTGATTCTCCTGAACGATGGCAAATGGGACCTCAAGATGGTGCATCTCCTATCCAAGAAGGTATTGTAGAACTTCTAAGTTCTGTTGCTTTCTATCTTGTTATTATCGTATTTGGTGTTGCTTGGGCTATTTTCTCTGCTGTTAAAAATTTTAGTGAAAAGAAAAATCCACTTACTTACCACTTCAGTCATGGAACTACTATTGAACTTGTATGGACAATTACTCCTGCTTTCGTTCTTATTGCTATTGCATTCCCTAGTTTCAAACTTCTTTACCTAACTGATGAAGTATTCTCTCCTTCTATGACTATTAAAGCTGTTGGTCACCAATGGTATTGGTCATATGAATATTCTGATTTCCTAAACGAGGATGGTGAATCAATTGAATTTGATTCATACATGATCCCTGAATCAGATATTACTGATGGTCAACTTCGACTTCTAGATGTTGATAACAACGTTGTTGTTCCTGTTGATACTACTATCCGATTCATCATTACTGGACAAGATGTTATCCATTCATTCGCTGTTCCTTCTCTAGGAATCAAAGTAGATGGTATCCCAGGACGACTAAACCAAGTAGGTACAATCATTGAACGAGAAGGTCTATTCTATGGACAATGTTCAGAACTTTGTGGTATCCTACATGGATTTATGCCTATCTGTATTGAAGCTGTAACTCCTGAAAAATACCTTGATTGGATGGAAAGTGTTGCTTAATATACAATACCCCCCCCCTTCCTATTCTACTAATTTCCTAGTAAATTTTATATAATAAGAATATTCTTACATATTTTATTTACTATTCTATTCAGAAAATTCTTCCTTAGAAATTCTATTTTTATCATTTCTTACTTTTTCTATTATGACAAATCTATTTGATATTAAAGCATTTGATGTTTCTGTAACACAAGGACCTCTTGTATCTCTTCTTCTTATTCTTATTGTATTTGTTCCTATGCTTCTTTGTGTTGCTTTTATGACTATTATCGAACGTAAAGTTATGGGATCTATGCAACGACGTATTGGACCTAATGTTGTTGGATACTATGGAGTTCTACAACCTTTTGCTGATGCTCTAAAACTTGTAGTTAAAGAACAAGTTATTCCTGCACAATCTAATAAAGCCCTATTCTACCTTGCTCCTATGATTTCTCTTATCTTCAGCCTATTTGGTTGGGCTGTTATTCCATTTGGACCTGGTATGGCTATTGCTGACCTTTCTATTGGTATTCTATTCTCTCTTGCTGTTTCATCTATTGGTGTTTACGGTGCTCTATTCGCTGGTTGGGCTGCTAACTCTAAATATGCTTTCCTTGGATCTCTTCGTGCTACTGCTCAAATGGTTAGTTATGAACTTATCTTCTCTACTTGTGTATTTGCTGTTATCCTTCTTGCTGGTTCTCTAAACCTTACTACAATCGTAGAATCTCAAACTGCTATTTGGTTCATTGTACCTCTATTCCCAGTTTTCATTCTATATATTGTATCTGCTCTAGCTGAACTGAACCGTACTCCTTTCGATCTTCCTGAAGCTGAATCTGAACTTGTTTGTGGATTCATGACAGAACACTCTGGTATGATCTTCGTATTCTTCTATCTTGCTGAATACTCTGGTGTTGTTCTTATGTCTACATTCTCTTCTATTCTATTCCTTGGTGGATATGCTTTCCCTGAAATCTTTGTAAATGAAACTTTCATCAATCTACAAAGTATTATCCTTGCTATCAAAGCTCTTCTATTTATGTTCTTCTTTGTTTGGGTTCGTGCTACATTCGTACGACAACGATACGATCGACTTATGATCTTCTGTTGGACACAACTACTTCCTATGACTATTGCCCTTCTAGTTCTTGTTCCTAGTCTACTTATTGCATTTGATATCCCTGCTGTAAACTAAATAAAAAAAATAAGTAGGAAGAAGATTATTTTATAATACTTCTTCCCTTCTATTTACTATATAAGAAAATAAATTCTTTTCTCTTACTCTCATCTTCATCTATTCTTACTATACTTTCATAGAATTACACATATTCTATATACAAGACATAGATATTTTCTATCTTAAATATATATATTAATAATATATACTATTATTTTATTCCTGGGAATTTAGCATAATTGGTTAATGCACCAAATTGTCAGTTTGGGGTATGCCCGTTCGAATCGGGTAGTTCTCGATAATATTAGATTATCTTTCCCTCTTTTCTCATCCCCCCCCCATTTATTTGAATTTTTACAATGAATCTTAGCCTTATTCTATTTACTATTGGTATCCTTGGATTTGTTCTTAACCGAAAAAACATTCTTGTTATGATTTTCTCTATTGAAATTATTCTTCTTTCTATTACTATTCTAGTACTTGTTTCTTCTGTTAACTTCGATGATATCCTTGGACAAACTTATGCTATTTACATTATTCTTCTTGCTGCTGCTGAGTCTGCTATTGGACTTGGTATTCTTGTTGCTTACTACCGACTACGAGGTTCTATTTCTATCACTAACACATCTACTCAACATTCATAAAAAAATGTATCTACTATTTTTCCTTCTTCCTTGCCTAGGTAGTGCTGCTGCAGGACTTGGTGGACAAAAAATTGGAGTTACTGGTGCTCACATCATTACTACTTCTTGCCTTGCTATTTCTGCTGCTCTTTCTATCGTTGGATTCTATGAAGTTGTTCTTTGTCATTCTCCTGTTACTATTCATCTTGGTGATTGGCTACACTCTGAAATCCTTACTGTTTCATGGACACTAACTTTTGATACACTTTCTATGTCTATCATTTCTACTGTTCTTATTATTTCTACTCTTGTACACCTGTACTCTATTGATTACATGAGTGCTGACCCTCATAACCAACGATTCTTCTCTTACCTTAGTCTATTTACATTCTTCATGGTTGTACTAGTTTCTGGTGATAATTACTTCCTTCTTTTTGTTGGATGGGAATTCATTGCCGTTTGTTCTTACCTACTTATTAACTTCTGGTTTACTATTATCGAAGCTAATAAATCTGCTATGCAATCTTTCATTGTTAACCGTGTTGGTGATATGGCTCTTTCTGTATCATTCCTTGGTATCGTTTGTCTATTCGGAAATGTTGATTTCTCTACAGTATTCTCTCTTGCTCCTATGATGAACGAAAGTGCTCTTACTGTTATTGGACTTCTTCTTCTTTTCGGAAGTATGGGTAAAAGTGCTCAAATCGGACTTAATACTTGGCTTCCTACTGCCATGGCTGGTCCTACTCCTGTTTCTTCTCTTATCCATTCTGCTACTCTTGTTTCTGCTGGTGTTTATGTTCTTCTACGATCTAGCCCTCTTCTTGAGTACTCTTCTACTACTCTTATTGCTATCACTTGGATTGGATCTATTACTGCATTCTTCGCTGCTTCTACTGGTCTTCTACAAAATGATATCAAACGTGTTATTGCTTATTCTACTTGTTCACAAATGGGATATCTATTCCTTGCTTGTGGTCTTTCTCAATACAATACTGCACTATTCCACCTTGTTAACCATGCTTTCTTTAAAGCTCTTCTATTCCTTTCTGCTGGTGCTGTCCTACACGCTACATTTGATCAACAAGATCAACGACGACTTGGTGGATTCCTTCCTCTACTTCCATTCACTTACACTGCTATCCTTATCGGATCTCTTAGTCTTATGGCTGTTCCATTTATGACTGGATTCTACTCTAAAGATCTTATCCTTGAACTTGCCTTCTCTCAATACGTATTCCATGGATCTATCGCTTACTGGTTCGGTTCTATCTCCGCTGGTCTTACTGCTTTCTATAGCTTCCGACTTGTTTCTATGACTTTCCTTACTTACCCTAATTCTCCTAAAAAAGTATATGAAAATGCTCATGATGCTGCCATCTTTGCTATGATCCCTATGGCTACTCTTTCTATCCTTGCTATCTTCTTTGGATATCTTGCTCGAGATCTCTTCGTTGGTATGGGTACTGATTTTGCCGCTAACTCTCTATTTATTCATCCTACTCATATCTCTCTCATTGAAGCAGAAGTTATCCCTACCTCATTTAAACTTCTTCCTTCATTCATTACTTTCTCTGCTGCTTATGCCGCTTTCTTCTTCTATCACTATGCTCCAGACTTCCTTGTATTCGCTGGTAAAACTACTCTTGGATATAATCTTTATAAATTCTTCAATGGTAAATACTACATTGAAGTTCTTTATAATACTTATCTTATCCCTGCTTCTCTTGGACTTGGTTACATTGTTTCTAAACAACTTGATCGAGGTATTGTTGAACAACTATTTGGATTCGGAATCTCTTCTGGACTTGCTAACGCTAGTCAGAAAATGAGCAAACTTGATACTGGTACTCTTCCTTCTTACACTATCTACTTCGCTCTTTCTCTTCTATTCCTTACTATCCTTCTTATCGCACCTGTTCTATCTATCTCTAATATTAACCCTTCTACTGCGATCCAATTCGTATCTCTTATTGATCTACGACTTATTGCTATCCTTGTTATCGCTTACATCTTCATTAGCTTAACATTATTACATTCCAAATGTACTTAGGAATATATCCCCCTTTGAAATATCATATCCTTATTATATTATCTTTATCTCATTCACCTACTATCTAATTTTACATATCTATATTACATCAAAAAAAAAAGAAACTACTTCTACTCACTACTT